CACCCACACCCACACCCTAGTGAGGAAGAGACCAACATCCACACCCATTCCCACACCCAAAAATGGTCATGTCTGCCAAAAGAATAATCATTTGTATCATAGAATAGGTTATTTGTGCCATAGGAATGGTGATTTGTACCACAGAAATGGTCATTTGTACCATGGAAATGGTCATTTGTGCCAAGACCTTGTTACAGACAGACACAGGTGAATTACGGTTTCTAAACCCTAGCCTTTCAGTCTTGGAAATACACGCTTTCCATGGAAATGGTTGAACAACAAACCCTTGGCCGTAGAATAAAAACCATTTTCATAAAAGAGTAGAACAATAAACCCTTATCCGTAGAATAATAAACCCTTTTCATGAAAGGGTAGAACAATAAACCCTTATCCGTAGAATAATAAACCCTTTTTAAGAAAGAGGAGAACAATAAACCCTTAGCCGTAGTATAATAAACCCTTTTCATGAAAGGGTAGAACAATAAACCCTTAGCCGTAGAATAATAAACCCTTTCCATGAAAAAGGAGAACAATAAACCCTTAGCCGTAGAATAATAAACCCTTTTCATGAAAGAGTAGAACAATAAACCCTTAGCCGTAGAATAATAAACCCTTTTCATAAAAGAGTAGAACAATAAACCCTTATCCGTAGAATAATAAACCGTTTTCATAAAAGAGGAGAACAATAAACCCTTAGCCGTAGAATAATAAACCCTTTTCATAAAAGAGTAGAACAATAAACCCTTATCCGTAGAATAATAAACCCTTTTCATGAAAGGATAGAACAATAAACCCGTAGCCGTAGAAGAATAAACCCTTTTCATAAAAGAGTAGAACAATAAACCCTTAGCCGTAGTATAATAAACCCTTTTCATGAAAGGGTAGAACAATAAACCCTTTTCCTGAAAGGGTAGAACAATAAACCCTTTTTCGCTTGTCATAAACCCTTTTTATTTTTAAATACCCTTTTTCTCAGAAACCCTTTCGCACAAAAACCCTTTAAGGGTTTAACACACAAGCATAAACCCTTTAAGGGTTTAGGAAAATTTTCCTTAAGTACTAGGGTTTATTATTCTACGAATTTTTTTTACAGTGCAGTTCCATCCCATTCCGAGAACTCGAGCATCATTCAATATAACAGATCTACTCGTCACTGACCGAGTTCCAACAAATTTCTGGAATTATCAGAACTAAGTTCAGACGAAATTACTCCGAATTCCGAGGAATTCCGCAATCGGAGGGAATTCCGTGCAATTCCGTCCAATTCCGTCTCGACTCAATTTCCGCAATTCCGTACAGGAATAACTTCCCGCCCTCACCCTCACGCATAGTGTTGTGACTGAAGATTATTCTCTCGCGTAAGTAAGTAATTGCAGTATGGAATTGCGGGAATTGAGTCGAGAGGGAATCGCACGGAATTAGATGTAATTCCCGGGAATTCCTAGGAATTCCATTCGAATCCGGAATTGCTGGGAATTCGGAGTAATTCCGTCTGGACTAAGTTAAGGGGATTGACGGAACTCGCTCAGTGACTAGTAAATCTGTTGTTCCGAATGACGATCGAGTTCCCGGGATTGGATGGAACTGGTTCCCGGTGCGGAACTGATTCCGCAATGTTCAGCATTACGGAATAGGATAAGTGTTCCATCCGCCCACACCCACACCCAATACCCCACCCGCACCCACACCCACACCCACACCCACCCACACCCACACCCATACCGACACCGACACCCACACCCACACCCACACTCACACCCGCACGCACCCCACACCCATACCCACACCCACATCCACACCCACACCCAATACCACACCCGCACCCACACCCACACCCACCCCACACCCACACCCACACCCACACCCACCC